AAAATTTCATACAGGAAACCCTGGTTATTAGTGTGCATTCTTTTGGACTTGATCATCTTATGCATATGGATTATATCGTAAAATATAAATAGACTATACAATAGTGATTTTTGAAAGCCTTGAATTTCAAAGAGTAGGCTGGATTAATAGGGCTCAGAATTAAACCAGAAAGATTTGCAAAATGTAAGTTCAAGACTACAAGGTCATTATTTTTCCCTTTCTTTTACTGAGAACTATCATATAATTATTCATATTTTCCTTTAACTACTTGAAAAATAAGCATATTTATATTGAAATCTATGCAAATAAAAATATAACTTATAGCAGTTTCATTTTCTATCAAATAATGACTGTATGTATCAAGTACAAACATACAGATACGTGTGTATTGTACATGTTTATATAGAGAGAAACCTCCTTTTTATATTCCGCACTATTAACTTTTCTTAACTGAAGAATTTAGTGAATAAACCTATTAAAGAATGAGAAAGCTTTCAATATGCTGTTCTATGCATACATCTTTTAAAAATCTATGTATTACAGGATGTTTTTTATATTCTATCTGCCTTTACCTTTTGTTGTTGCTGTTATTGAGAAATTCCAATAGCTTTTTGCAGACAGCATGCTAAGTAAGTAGCATGTCAAAGTCAATTGCCGAAAAGCTAAAAACTGACATTAGTGACAATTATATATCTTATTTTCTGGGTCAGTTAACAATATTCTAAAACAAGCAAATATGCCTTGAGAAATAGCCCCTTGTAATGTCCTTTCATAGGACAGCTGTTTTGCATCAAATTAGATGCAGAATGGTAAACTGTCACATTCTTTGACAACAAAACAATGGCTTCAGAGAAAATAACAATCTTTTTAATATGCATTTTTTAGAAAAACAAAAAGCACAATTTAAAAGTCATAATAGAACAACATTTTAGATCTGCTGTAGAAAGCTTAAAACGTATACTGGAGAGAAATAAGGCTAGACAATCAATTCTGTATATGAATATGCATCAAATGTGAGCTTCTGTTTCTATCCATGCTATATTGTAATTGAGAAGGTAGTTAGCAATGTTGAAGTAATGGATAAAAGGAAAACTTAATTGTGAGTGATGATAATAATATAAAATAATACTAGGCTGAATTGAAATTTTGGTAAAACAGTTTCTGTCACTTTTCTTGGGTAAGAAATTGCCCTGTTCATATCATTAAGGTATATTTGAATTCTCAAATTCTAAAATATTCAGAATTTAAACAATTTAATATGGTTGCAAAATTACAACTGCCACTGAGAAATTCCAGTCAAGTACAACCTAATTACATCTTGTAGAACAAAATACTATAACTACGAAATTAATATTTTCCACACTGATGACAGTAGCAAGACGAGCTGTATCCCAGGCCTATGATTTACTGATCTTAATTATTACAGTAAGAAATAAAACTACCCATTATATTGCACTCAAATCTATTTCAGCACCTGATCTCCAATTTTGTTGAACATGAGAGGTAAGTTAGATGAGTTATTTTTAGAGAGGACATCTGGCTTCTCAGTAGGTTTGGCAGTCAGGCTAAATATCAGATATTTAGAGACCTGAAATCAGGGTGAGTGTACCTAAACAGCCACCACACATTGAGTTCAGAACATCTTAAATTGCTCCCCATGGTGGCTGCCTCTATACTGCAAGCTGTTCCTAAGCAATAGTTACACCATCAGAGATGGAAAAAGCAGAGGGAAAGAAGGTTTTTACAGTGCTGTAGAGAAAATTGTACAAGCCATTTTATGAGCCATGTTGTCCTAATGACCCGAACACACAGGAGAAGATACTCTCAGGAAATCTTGTAGTAGCTTCTCCACAGTATCTGTTTCATGTGCACAAACCCATCTTGTTATTGAAATATTGCCCTGATCTAAAATTGGTCTAATGGTCTATTAGCATTATACATTTTATTATTTAAAGACCCTATAAGATTGGAAAATAAGAGCATATCAAGTTCAACCTAGAACTAAGGAGAAATTTCCTGACAGTTAGAACAATTAATCAGTAGAACAACTTGCCTCCAGAAGTTGTGAATGCTCCAACACTGGAAGTTTTTAAGAAGAGATTGGACAACCATTTGCTTCCTGCCTGAGCAGGAGATGGGACTGGAAGTCCTCCAAGGTCCCTTCCAACTCTGTCATTCTATTCTGTTCTGTTCTGTTCTGCTCTATTTTCTGTTCTATTTTCTATTCTAATCCCTAGTTTATTATCAGTACTCTTCACATGAGCAAAAACATTTGCAGAGGAAAATGTTTCTTATCAGTTTAGGCTACCCACAGAGTTTGAATTTTTCAGGATTATAAATCTGGTAATGGGCCTCCATTACCAGATTTATTAACACATTAACATTAACTCCATTAACACAACAGGTTCCTTGTTATAGTTTGTTCTGTAGCAAATCTGAGAACAGATCCACACTTTCCATCGTGCATAATTTGGAATAGGTGATATTATCCTTTTCTACTTCCCTAGCTATTGCAAATGACCTATGTTTTCTGGATTTCATTCAGAGCTGCTGTTTCCTGGCCTGTTTTAATCACTTCAGATTAGGTGAGTCTCCTATATTTTTCTTCATTTAATTCCATCCCCAGCTTTGATTAGCTGCAATGCCTGGCATGACCCTTTCCCTGGGCAGCCATTTCATCCTGGTTTGCCAGGGAACTATGTGTTGTGCTGGTTGGCAGTTGCTTTAAAAATCACCACCACCGTCATCATCCAGACAATCCAATGATGGCCTGTGAAGTCAATGAATTATCCTTCAACCAGGGGTGAAATGCTTCCGGTTCGGACCGGATCCCCTGATCCGGTAGCAATGGTGGTGGGTGGTGCGGAGAACCGGTAGCAAAAATCATTGCCCCCTCCCATGCCCAGCTGAGCCACAGAATCATCAGAGGCTTTTTTTTTTTTTTTACTTTTAAAAGCATTTTTTCTACAACCTCTTCTGACGAAAAAATGCTTTTAAAAGTAAAAAAAAAAAAAGCCTCTGATGATCGTGCGGCTCAGCTGGGATAGTCAGAGGCTTTTCAAAGCATTTTTTTTTTTTTGCAACCTCTTGGCTGAAGAGGTGGTAAAAAAAATGCTTGGAAAAGTCTCTGACGATCCCAGCTGAGTTGCCCAATTGGCAGAGGCTTTTCAAAGCATTAGAAAAAATGCTTTGAAAAGTTAAAAAAAAAGTTGGCCACGCCCACTCAGTCACATTATCCCCCACCACCAAGCCACGCCCACAGAACCGGTAGTAACAAATTTTACATTTCACCCCTGCCTTCAACCTAGATTCTCCTTTCATTCTCCATTCATCCCTTACATCTCCCAGTGGATATCCTTTCAATTTCTCCTCAGGTGAAATTATAATAAAATGCATAATGCTAATAGGCCAATAGACCAATTTAGACCAAGACACTATTTAAATAACAAGATGGGTTTCTGCACATGAAACAGTCTCTATGAAAAATGTAACACATGAAATTTTCTCTGTTTTCTTACCTCCTGCCCACAGTACTGGAAACCCTCACTCCCCTTTATTTTATTTTTTTAAGCTGAGTCACATTGTAATATAGCATCATTACTATATTGTCCTACAAAGTTGAACTCTCAGTTATTTCTTTTTATAAATTTTCCATCTACAGAGGAACATGGGGGGGGAAAACCCCTGTGCTCTATTGTTTGGATTAGTGTAGCACCAGAGCTTTTCTATAGAGGGAAAAAAAGTAAAATAAAGAATAGAAAATATTTGCAATTGCATTAAAATAAATAACGAGGAAACAATATTGAAGGCATTCATGTGTCAGAATGAAGCAAAAGAAAATCATGGGGTCTAATGAGAAGTGAAGAAGAAAGAAAAGGCAGGATTTGTAGATCAGTCCATAGAGGAGCCTACGAGCCAATGAGGTGAGCTTTTCATGCATGGATAGGAAGGCAAGAAGTAGGGGAGTGACCAATCAGGTCTTTGGTGGTCATGATTTGGATCAGGCATTGGCCTTGTATAGCCCAACCCAGTTGTGAAGCCACTGCAATATAGACTGCAATTTCTCAACTTAGCTTATGAAATTTAGGATAAGCAGCTTCTACAGCCCTGAAAAATTGTTCTGCAAACTACTTTTGTATTATGGCCATTATACCACATGGATGTGTCCATGTAGATATCAAGGAGTCTTTAACTTTTAAAAATAAGGTTTATTTCAATCTCCTATTCTGCAACAAACATTTTCTTTGCATTTTTCTTAACACAGTCTCTTCCATTTTTTCATTCTAATTAACTCCCCCCCAAAAAAAATCTAATTAGGATCACTCTGTAAACTTCTGTAACATTTGTAACATAATTATTTTTATATGTTGCAAGGAATTTCCATATGTTTTTCCATGTGTTCACTTCCTATTTATTCTGTTGCAAGATTTATCTAATACTCTTTCATAGTGAATTCATTCTTCCTCTTCCTCTTCTTCTATTTTCTATTATTCTACTTTCACCTTCATTTACTTCACTTCTTTTCTTCTCCCCCCACATTTTAACACTACTTAAAATGGCTTAACCCACCCTTTCATTAAGTTTATTTATGTATTCTTTATGGTTCTCCTAATATTTTATCATAAACTTTTTTTTGCATGAAACTCACCTTTAGCTATTTCATTATCACCATTGTTCCATTTATTGGATTAATATGTGCCCCCCACTTTTCAGTCAGCTATACATAGTAAACTAATACCTTGCATTTTAAAAATCCTAAAGTAAGGATCTTAGGTCCTTCTAACTTTGCATTTGAGAAGACAATTGAAAATTTGCTGTAATGGAGACTATTAAACCATCCAACAGTATATAAAAAGAACATTGTTTCTTAGAAATCTTTACTGTTGTTTTCTATACATCAATTCTTGGCACATGTGGTTATCTTAAATAAGATAAGTATAATTGAGATCTAATGGAATTCCCATAGTTGTGATACATGATGTTTTGGTCTTTACCAATAGATGCAACATGCACTGTGAGTTATGAAGCATTATTCTGCTTTCAAATCCAGCTGGTTGCAAAACTCTATTATTTCTTGATTGGACAGAAGGCCGAGACCTGGAACAAATGAAAACCGAACATCTACAGTAGACAAATATAGGTGAGACTGTAGAGGAGCAGGGAAGCACATATCCCAGCAAATTTTGAAAAAAGTCAAATGATCTTATTAGCCTTAAAAGAAACATTTTCCAAGCAATTGTAGGGTTATTTAAGGGGCATTTCCACTGTGTGCATGTATTTTAGATAGGCCAACTTTCCAAAAATGTAATTAAATACAATTTAAAATTTATTACTCTTTCCGCTTCAGACTGTTACAAAATTATCACCCAGCTTTCAGATGACAATTTGAACTATCAGTAAAAGTGAACATTCTCTTTCCCTCTCTGCTTCTAAAAAGAATGAAGGCCCTCCTGCTGTCATACCATGTTGCTGCTGTTAAATCACTCTGTTACATGACCTGCTACATTGACCCCTGATGTCAGTCCCGAAACTACTTACTTTCCACTATTCATTCTTACCTTGGGAGAAAGTGCAGGGAAATCATTCCTGTGAACCACTAATAGGTTAACATTTTCTTTGATCTTGTATTGTTCTAAAACTGGTCATCGGTTCTTAGAAATCAAAATAGCATTCGATTGAAGTAAATCTGATTTGAAAGGAGGTATGTTTACTGTGCTTACAAGAGACATAAAATGTCTTCTATAGCCTTCTGCGAATAGAAACAGAAAGCTACAAGCCATTTGATAGAACACTATCATTTTCAAGTATGATAAATAATAAGGCATTGTTGAAACATATTCCTGCAATATATTTTGGGTATAGTTTATCATGTGTTTTTTTGGGGGGAAATAGAGGTAGATGATTAGATAGATAGATAGATAGATAGATAGATAGATAGATAGATAGATAGATGATAGATAGATGTGTGTGTGTGTGTGTGTGTGTGTGTGTGTGTGTGAGAGAGAGAGAGAGAGAGAGAGAGAGAGAGAGAGGTGGAGGGACTATGAATGAGACTATGAATGATGGTGTTCAAAGCCTCTGACACCAATGGTGAATTTAGTACAACAGGTATTAAAACTCATCTATTTGGGAAATTTTATTCTTCTCCTAGAAGAAGTAGAAGAAGAAGAGGAGGAGGAGACAGAACAAAAGGAGAAGGAAAGGTTTAGAGATAAGGTATTCAAGGAACTTGATGTATTGTTATTTAAGCTCTATTTACTAAACTATAGTATTGAATTTCCCATGTGAGCTTTATTAGTAGTACTACTATTACCAGGATACTATAATCAATTTTCTCTGACAATTCAATGTGGTTTTCACTTTATACTCCGGTATATGTATGTCAGTATACATATACTGATATATGATCAGTTAAGACAGAATAAGAGGTCCAAGATCACCCACTAAGTTCAAAATTTAGGGCTGAATTTGAACCTAGGCTTTCCTAGACCTAGACTCATACCTTAACCATTGTAGCACTATGCCTTCCGGATATTAGGTATGTATCACCATTTTCCAAAGTTGCAGTTGTACTGATATCAAAATATACCACTTTTTTCTTTCTTTTGTATTTTTCATAGTTTTCTGTCATTTTATTAATTCTTATTAAAATTATTTTTTAAAAAAGAAAAAAAATCCTCTGTTTATATGGGAGAATGTGCAATCTAAAATTATATGTGTCAGTATGAATATATCAGCATTGATATAGATAGGAAGAGTGAAAGAGAGAGACAGACAGACTTAAATTCTTTGCAAGAAAAAAAATATCAGTTGTATAGGGATACATGTTAAATTTTCCTTTGGTGTCTTTGTTTAGGTTTGTTTAGGTTTCATGGATGCTAAAATCTTCTTTAAAGATTTCAGATCAGCAGGAATTGACTCTGGCAACAAGTTCTAAATCTTTTTTTTTTTTAATGCATTCTCAATATATATACATATCTCTATGTAAACAAACATTGTTTGTTGGAACCCATCTGGGGGAGGTTGCAAATTCTGATCATGTGACCACAGGATGCTGCAACAGATTGTAAATTCAATCCTGTTGCCAAATGACTGAATTGCAATCACATGACTGTGGGGGAGAAGTAGCAATAATCATAAGGATGAAGACAGGTCATAAATCACTATTTTGTGAGGCACTTGTAACTTTGAACCATCATTAAATGAACATACTGTAAGTTGAAGATTACCTCAGGTTTTCTTTCAAAATGTGTAATGATTAGTCAAAATAATGTACTGTCTTTGTTCGATGCTATAAACTTAGGTTACGACAGAAGAAACAATAATTTAAGACTGTGCACCTTCTATGCTCTTAACTTCTGGCTGCGTAGGCAGAAACTCTAAAGTCCAATGACAGTATAATGAGGATGAGGAACACAGCAACATATACATCAGTACATGGAAAAAATAGAAAATGAAGGGCAGGATGAGGTAGGGGTAGAGCACCTCACTGAATATGGGGTGAGACAACCCTAACACAACAGTTGCTATGTCAGTTGTTTATGCATGATTCATGATGGATTACATTAGTGATAGAATATAGCAATAGGCTGTGACTTTATGAAGATATCAAGAGCTACCAAAGCCTACCATATTAGCTTTGAGACTGGATGACATTTTTAATGTAACACTTCCTAAATCTAATCATTTATAGATGTAGTTAATTTGGATTGAAATATTGCTTGAATATGCTCCATCTCCAGTTTAACTTCTATTCATTTTCAGTTTTTATTTAAGAGAGACCAGGGAAAGGAGAGCAACCCTGAATATAAATCGCCATCAAAGCCCCTCTGCTTTAATTCCTGTATTGAGTAAACAAATACACCCCCCCTCCCAAATCTCCATAATTTCTACCCAGTTATAAACCAATGGCCTGTAACACCCTCTGAATAACTGCTGGTCAGCCAGCTGTTTCTCATTGTCTCTCTGGGGTTTTCTAAGTGTCACTTCCTGGCTGACTGCCTTCGCACTGTCAGATATAACTGGAAGATAGCTGGCTTTTCTGAAGTACAAATTACAATCCAGAACATTTCTTCTGAGATAAATGGTCACCTGATTTCCATCAGTGTAGCAGCTGGTTGCCAAACTACTAGTTTCCACCTTGGTCAGTGAGCTGCGGGCAAAATGATATATAGACTTTTGGTTCTTTATTACATTTTATACCTTCCAGCTTCTGTTCTTCCAATGTCTTTTACAATAGCTATAAAAGTAATGGTGTCTTTGTATCAACCTTAAATTATTGACTCTCAGTTTAAGATAACTGTGGTAGACAACATTAACTGTGAATGTGCCTGGAGAGAAAGCACATTTTCTATCCAGAGGTGTTTAATTGTTAATAAAATTCTAAGGCGTGCCTGCCAGAATGTTGGGGGAATAGTAAAATAATTCTAGCTTGTGTTACAAAAGAAAATAACTGCCATGATAAATATCTTATTTTTAAACTGTTTTCACTCTCTACATCTCTATTAAAAAGAAAACAAATAGAAGGTTAGAAGTGTGCCAAATATGTTAGCCATTTTTCCCCCTTGTATACAAGCAGGAAAGTAATTAGATTTGTTTGGGGTAATTGATTTTGTTTTTTTCCCCCCTCCCTTTCTGAATATGAGAACAGGAGGCTAAAAGAATACATTACAATCTGTATATTTCTGTGATTTATGCTTCTGCTTATAAATCTTGCCTGTTTCTTCATTTTCTTAATATAATTACAGCTGAACTGTTGCCTTAAGTTTATTTTGGTGACTGTCTCTGCTTCATTTTCAGATTTTGCTCTCCGGGACTGTATTCAGTGTGCAAAACAGGAAGATTGTGAGGCATCTTTCAGTCTGTTTGGACTTCATGTTTACAGAAGAGAGATGGAGATGCCATTAGAAACAAAAAGGACTTCTGTGTGCCTGATTCTCTTTGTATTAAATTTGGCAGCAGCTATTGAAATCCCTCTTACTGGTAAGTTATAGCTATTTGCTGAGTGTTCCTCTACTGGTGATTAGATTAGATCTTACGAATGTGTTGTTTCCATTTTGAGCTTTATTTTATTTTTTTTTCCTAGTGTGGCCTCTTGAGAATTTCTGTGTGACAGAATTGCAAGTTTTGTTTTCTTTCCTTATGATTCATGCAAAAGCATCAAATATATAGCATATAGATAGGTGACTGAAGTTCCTTATGAATCAGTCACTAAAGCTGTGATTTCCAAATGTAGACAGGCATTTCATTTATATATCATTTGTCTGTGAAGAGAAAGAACTGCAAATAATGGAACAATACAGTTTTTTTTAAAGGATTGAAGCAGATATAGGATTGGATTTTCTAAAATAGTAGTGCTTTGTTCACATTACAGATAAAGGATTTTATTTTTCTTTTCAATTACATCATTCATCTCACTTTCTCAATTTTATCTTATTAATGACAGAATATGTAGAAATTCTAGAGCTCTGTTCCATTCCCATCTATTTTTATGTGAAAACCTGCTGTTGCTTGTCATATACTGGATATCTCACAAGTTTCTCTAATGAGAACTTTTGAGATGATTTTTTTTCCCTATAGACTGATGATAAAAATAAGTCTTAATATTTCCTCAGCTTATCGTTCCTTCCTTCCTTCCTTCCTTCCTTCCTTCCTTCCTTCCTTCCTTCCTTCCTCCCTCCCTCCCTCCCTCCCTCCCTCCCACCTTCCTACATTCTTAATAATTGCATTGTCATTGTTAACCAAAATATGACATACTTCAGATCTGTTGTTATATACAGCCAACAGTTATTAATATTTATGCTTATGGTGAAATTGACCCAATCAAAGTATCCCAAATCAAGAAGTCAGTGCTGAAGAATAGAAGTTAAAAGTATCTTAGTAAGAAAAAGGTGTCAAAACAATTCTTTTGTGATCCTCATGGTTCCCATCTGTTCTGCTGAGAGAGAACTAATATGCTTAATTTTCACTAAGCATGTTAATGTACTTTTATATGTAGGATGCTTCCCCCCCCCAATCTCATATCAGCCAATTTTCTGTCTTAACATTAAGCATCCCATGGTAGCAGGAAACTATTTTGTCTAATTTGACTGTAGACTGCCATTATTAGACAGAGAGGACAAAATGTGAACAAAGAAGGATTATCCCATTGAAAACACTGTTATAAGAAAGCTGAAAGTATACAGAAATCATTTGCTTTGCAATGTGTAGGAGAGCATATGAAGCACCTTGCCTTGAATTGTTAAAGCAGCCATGTCTTTTTTCCAGATTTGTGGACCTTCCAGCTGATACAGCTACTTTAATCATTCATAGAGAGGTGTTTGTTTAGGATTTGCATAACTCTAATGGCTGTGGAAAAACAATTTTTGTGTGTGTGTTGAGTTCGCAGTAAATGAATTACCTTTTTCAGAGCTGGTGGTTGAATTCTCTTATAAATTGCAAATTTGGATTCCAGATCACCCATTATTTAGAATCATCTCCTCAAATTACATGACCTTGCTTTGACCCCATTTTTTCATCTGAATTCTTAATTTCTGTTAATGAAGGTTTTAATGGCTTTAATAAACATGAATCATATTTGGCTATAAACAAGATAGGCAAGGTCTGGTTCCATTGGCGGTGTAGATGAAGAGGTACCATATGGTGCAGCAAGATACCGCATTCTCTTTGAGCAGTGAGTTTTCCAGTTCACTAGGTTTAAAGACTTTCTAGCCAATTCTCTAATATTCATTCCTGTAATTTATAACAAAGTGGTAATTCTATTATGGTCAATTACTCTTCAGGGTACAATTTCCATTTTTATAGTTTGGTTATGTGAAGATTCACAACACTTTAATTTCTTCAGCATAATAAAAGAATGTAAATCTATGAAATAGATGATTTGCATAGTTGTGAGTCCATCTATTCTGCTTCTGAGGGTGTATGGTTTTGAATAAAGATGCCACCGTTTGGCCATAGCGGGTGGATTCTATGGAGATATACTAAGTCACATCAAGACTTAGATTTAACATTTCCCATTTTAAAGGTGTGCAAATGTATAATGCATATTTTAAATTTTTAAGCAGTTTAATTCCACTGACAGATTTATTCTGAGTTTCTCTGAGTTATATTACAAATCCAGCGAAAAGACTGTGTAATTTGTAGACAGTCTGAAAGGATTTTGATATAATTTGATCTGATTTATCCTCATTGTCCAACAGCTTTCATACTTCTGGAAGAATGATCTTTCTTCTTATATATCTTGAAAAAAATCTTGTTTTTTACAAAAATATATTAGTTTAGAAATCTGTACTTAGGGAGGTAATCAGTTTTAAAATATGTACTTAAATAATATTTAAATAAAGTAGGGTTTTTTTGGATTCTAAAAATAGATATTCACAAATTAGAGGCGAGAGATGATGGGAAAGAGTTTTTTCCCTCCCTTTTACTATAGAAATACATACAACAAGGACTTGTATTAGAGGGCATACATGCTTAGTTATGAATAATTTTTGTCTGTATCCAAAAATGCATTACCCGGATTGATCTGAGCCACTAGAAGACTGGCTGATTTTTTTTCCTCTAGAATTTTAATGTTTATATAGTTGATAGGACATAATAATGGTCTACACCCCTCCCCCAAAGGTCGCTTACTGAATGCCCCCCCCCCATTAAGAGCCCATCATCGGAGAGAGGAAGAGGGAGAGGAAGCCCCATCCAAAGTATGGTGGCATTTGGAATTATGATATGGATCATGTGGACATTACAATAATGGGTCCTATGAAACCATGGTATTGAAAACCAAAAAGACCATTGGCTTACTAAAGCTTTAACCATAGAGATGTTCAGTTGAGCTTGAACTCTGACCTCAGAAAGACAAATATAAGGAAGACTTGATAAGTTCCATAGTAATTGGATAAAGCAAGTTCAAATTATAACTTATTTAAAATCAACTTTAAGATTACTGTCCCATGCATCATAGACACCAGAACTTCCCCTGTGAACAGAAGTATAACTGTTTAGACTGCAAAAACTGATAAAGAGCTCCCCTTCCTACTGTTAGGGTTAGGGTTAGGGTTAGGGTTAGGGTTAGGGTTAGGGTTAGGCTATCCAGAATCAAGGAGAATCTTCAGGATGCAAACTTGTTCCTTAAGGGAGAGTACAACCCCCACTCAGAAAAGGGGCATCACCTGAGCCTTGGAGCCAAAACCCCTGGAATCAGCAACAACTCTGCCTTGCCCAAATTCCATTTCAGATCATTTTCTCACATCTGGTCCTTTACAATAAGGAGGCTTACGCTGTCAAAACATTCAAGAAAGGAAACATACAAGTGATTTTCATCAGTACATAGAATGCAGTTAACACCAAACCTTCCTCCAACTCATTGTTTGTGTTCACGTAACATGGGAGACAGAATACAAACTTTGAGACCCCCGAGATAAATCCCAGGAGACCAAACTTAAGTTTCTTCGTATCAATTTCTGTTAGGGCTCAAGTATATAAAAATGGAATAACTGAAAATAACTTTAAAGAAGGATTCAGAAAAACCAGAACAGTTCAGAGTAGAGCAATAAGAATGATCAAGGGACTAGAAAGCTTATTTATTGAACATCGGATAAGAATAATATATATATATATATATATTGGGGTGGGCGTAGATTTATATAGATACATATATATATATATATATATATATATATATATTACTAATAAAAATGGGACAGGAGAGAAAAAGAAACAAGAACAACATTTTTATCTAACGCATGGGTGTCAACCTTGCAGCATCACGCTGCTGTCACATGATGTCTTGTGATGTTTTTCCCATTCATGGAGCTGGGGTGGGCGTGGCCTGCGCATGATGCATCCAGCTCACAGGCTGCCAGTTTGACACCCCCGATCTAACGCAAAGGGTATAATTTCCAGAAGCCACATGAATCAATACTGTATTTTGTTTAAATTATTTGATTTAATAGCATGGACAGTCCAAAACATACTGAAATGGTGGATATACATGACCAAAAGAAGGACAAGCTAAATAGCTTGATGTTGGAATCTCTCTCTCTTTCTCTGTGTTTAAAGAATTCCAATAATGCAACACTGATAAAGTTATGGGGAAAAAATGTTGGTTGATGTGGAGTGTATCATACATAAGATCGAAGTTTTAAAGCCATAGTACTAAACTCTGAAGTTGATAATTAATGTTCTTTCAGCAGAGAATGTAGTTGCAGTTGAGATATGTAATAAGACTGAATGAAAATGGAAAAGCTAAATGTATTAACCTCACAATTAATGTAAAAATTAATTTCTCAGATTAATGTCTCCATTTTTCTTTTTCTTTTCCTTTTTTCTCAGTTACAAAAGGTTAAGATATAACTCTTGAGCTCATTCCCTTCAGTGAAATTCCTTTTGAATAACACTGCTGGGGAATACTTCTGATCAAGCCCATTCCTGGAATGGAATATATGCAAGATCTCTTAGGAAGCATAGCATATTCATATCTGAAATGGTTGCCAAGAATATCTGTTTTCCAACTTTGTGTCCCTTCCTGAAAGATAATGTGATATCTTACTGTATTATATCTTCTTCTTTTTTTGAATAGCATTGCTGTTATAGTACTTCAGATATTTTGAGCAGCGTATTTATTTCTAATTATTTCTCAGGTTTTATATTCTGTCTCCAAACTAAAAAGTACATAAAAAAGCCCATTAAAAATAATGAAGTAAGGCTGCTGCAGACTTCAAATTATAAGGGAACCAACCCTACAAATTCAAATCCTAGATTGCCAGTGGTAATATTGCCATTAATTCTATATTCTACTTTTTTGTTTATTGTAGAAGCTACAATATTAGAAGTTTAAAATGTCTGACAAAATGGTGGTTTGAATTGTATAATAGGGCTACCAGATGTAGGCTGCACAAATCTGGATAACCACTAGATAGAGATTTTAGTATAGTCACTAAAGTCATTTGGGTATTTGCAGTGCTGCCCTAGAAGAACTATTATAAAGACATTTGAGCATGTGCTCATACTTAATAATAGATGATTATTGGAAAGCAGTTGAGATATTATTACAAGATTATCCATGGATATACTATGTTGTTTTTTAGTTTCTCAAAATTCTGGTGTTTATCAAGAAAACTTTTCTGTAGAATTATTTTACCAGAGAATGGAAGTTTAGATAAGTAAACAATGTAGATACTGCAGAGATACCCATCCTTCCATTATTAAACCCTGAAGCCCGGGGTTTGCCATACTGGGGCGGGATGGAGCACTGGTGATGGGGGGCGGGGTAGAGGAGTCAGAAGCTGCAGCGATGGAACACCGGTGATGGGGGGTATAGGAAGGCTGCAGCAGCATGCCAACAAATGCTGAGGACCAGCTGGTCGGCGTAGGCTGAGCTGTGTATCAGCTGTGCAGCAGGGAGGTGGAGCAATGTGAGGCAAGCGGCCTGCCAGGATTCGGTGCTCCAGCTACTGGTCAACAATCAGCTGTTCCAGCCTGATGATCAGCTGTTCCGGGTCACTGAACGGCCAGGCAGCATCCTACCAGGCAGGCTAACACTCAGCTGACAATGGGGCAAAGCCAGTGCCAGTGGAAGGGTGTGACTCACCTAAATAAAATGTGCTGGGAGGCGGATACTCTCAACGCTGACTTTGCATCTTTACATTTTACTGTTTTGCTGTTAGAACTCATTGTGTGCCAGAGTCTGGCTAAATAAAGCCAGTTAGCTTCCAAGCGAGTGGCGTCTTAATACTGGTTTAGGTCTGGAGCTCGGACACTTGGGATAAATTCAGATAAGTAAACAATGTAGATACTATAGAGATACCTATCCTTCCATTGGAGTTCAAGGCAATATATATAATGACTTCCTGTCATTTTATTTGATAGCAACAACTTTGTCAGTTCAGTTGGGCTGAGATAGAGTGACTGGCCTGAAGTTGCCCAGTGAACAATGAATAAGGTGTCTGACTACAAAGATAGATTTTATCCAGGATAATCTGTCTCCAACCTGATCTTTCAGATCTACAGCATCCACTGCTGTAATTGAGTTCATTCATCATACTGCTATCGGTCCTCTTTTTCTTGTTCTTTCCATCTTTCTTAGCAATATGATTTTCTGAAATGATCTAGGTATTCACATAATGTGCTCAAAATATGCTAATTTAAGCCAGATCATTTGTGCCTCTGGTGGAAACTCAGAATTAATTTGTTTTCTTGGTTATTCATAATGTTTTCAAGAGTCTTTTCCAGGATCAAAGTGTCCCTAGCCTTAACCCCATCTTAACCACTACAGTACCCTCACTCTCCTGTAAAATGATTGCTACTGATCTAATCAAACTTTTGGATCAGTGGAGATATTTTTTACTAGCTGCTCTTTTTCCGGGGGAATTTCCTGTTAAAGTCAGGCTGGTTTTCTCTATGATAAAAAGTCAAGGCATAAGCACATAGGGTTTTCAGGTTTCATTTGTTCAATCATTTTACCTTTGTGTATTTCAGTGCAACAGCTCCCAACAATAACAACACAGCCAACAGATCAGGTTGCTTTTCCTTTTGATGATGAATTTTCAATCAAGTGTGAAGCTAAAGGAAACCCCCAACCAATGTAAGTGTTACTGCACATTTATTTCTCTTTTAGTGCTTTTTTAACCTTTGTTTTTCATTGTTTTCTTTCAAAAAAAGTGTATCTCTCTCCCTCTTGTAATTATTTATTTATATTTATATACAGCCTTTATTTTTATAAATAAAGCAGCAAACATACCTAATACTCCTTCCTCCTCCTAAGACATGCCTCCACAACAAAACCCCTGTGAGATAACTTAGAGAGAGAGAGAGTGACTGGGCCAAAGTCATCCAGCAAGTTTTCATACCTAAAATGGAAATAGAACTCATGGTCTCCCAGTCTCTAGCCTGGTGCCTTAACCATTAGACCAATCAACTACCCTGTATTACTGAATGGCCAATGGTACCTGTCACAAAATCAGCCTAAAAGGCTTTGCTCAGTGTCTAAATTTCATTATCTGTGCTGAACAACATCCACATTAACCTCAGGATTGAAGTGTGTAACAGCATGGCATCCTAATGTAGAATTCTAGTTGCTTGTAACCACTTCCAACCATTTACATTGGAAATGATCAGATTGTAATTAAGTTCCTGTAATCCAAACAATTTTCCATTTTTATCATAGAACATTTTTTCCCACATAGACCTCAAAGTGCAGAAGCAACATAAATTTGGGAAAGGGAAAAACAGTGAGAATCCCATTGTGGCCCATTCAGACCATTCTTAAATGTTCCCTATTCATTTAGTACAATTTTATCAAAACAAGAAGGAACTTGACCTGTCATGAAATGCAAGTCATTACAGGGTGAGGTCATGAAGTACAGGTCACTTATTTTATTTATTTATTGGAATATGTCAAACAAAAACGAGAACAAGAATAAGAGAATAAAAATACAATGACAGGGACAATAGGCACATTAGTGCACTTACGCACGCCCTGTCTACCGACCACTTAAGTATGGAGTGAGGTCCATGGAAGTCAATTTGTGACTGAAACTGTGAAAATTTGTAGCTGAGGCAACTGAATCAGGTAGGGCATTCCGGACTTCGACAACTCTATTACAGAAACCATATTTTTTACAGTCAAGTTTAGAACGATTTACATTGAATTTAAAGTGGTTGTTTGCATGCATATTATTGCAATTAAAACAGAAAAAGTCATTTACAGGTAAAGCATTACTACATATAATTTTGTATGCAATACCTAGGTCTGACCACAAGCGATGCAGTTCTACGTTATCCAAACTGAGAATTTCGAGCCTAGTAGCATAAGGAATTCTATTGTGTAGAGAAGAGTGCAAGACTTTTCTCGTGAAGTACTTCTGAACGATTGTACTGATGTCAGATATATGATGGGAATTCCAAACAGTTGAACAATACTCTAAAATTGATGTAGCATAAGTTTTATAAACTCTAATTAGCAATACAATGTTTCCAGAAAAAAAAAGCTACACAAAATTAAGTTTATAACTCTTAAAACTTTTTTAGCAATGCTGTTACAGTGAGCTTTGGAACATAAATCATTACAGGGGTCTCTGAAAAACAGAGAACTTAGTTAGGCAAGGATGAGAATACCTAGATTCTTTGTTCCTTTAGCCTACCATGTGTATAGCTTCAAAGACAGCCCAGCACGTTCTATTTGAGAAAGAACTGATGGATAGTGCAAGACATGATTTACATTATGCAGCTGGCAAATTACATGAAATATGCAACATCTAGGAGATGTATATGTCTTTTGCATGGCTTTGCTTGCATATCCAATCCATACATAAATATAGTCATGTTTATTTTGATATGTACATTTTATTAAAACCATGAAAGGAGTATATATTTTGAATGTATCACATTTTCTAGACTATTGAATGCAGACTCTTTGGCTATCCAGATCTGATTTAAGGAGGACTCAAATTGGCAAGATTTAAGATCAAACCTTTTCAAAGGCAGCACTTTTCCAAGATTTTAATTACAGTAATACAAAATTATACAAACTAAACTCAGGGAAAGGAAGGAGAATTAAAAGAGGAAGAAGGAATAAATAAAAAAGAGAAAAAAAAGGATGAACGAGACAAAGAAAAAAAGAAATATATAAAGAAGTTACTTCCAAATTTCATCACAAGTATAAGCAAGTTTGATAGTTCTTCAGTCCCTATAAGGTATAGATATGGTATACCCCCTATACAAAGAGATATCTCTTCTTCCCATAACCCATTCCTTATCTATAAGCTAGTTCACGAAGCATTAACTTTTCAATCCTGGTGTCAGCAAAAAGTCTGCAAAGGGTTGCCTGAACTTTATAAAAACATATTTTAATCCTGATTAGATGAACCATCTTACATATCTTCCTTTTACTTCTGAAAACCTTAAATTATAATTCATTTAAATATTGTATTAGGATTTGATCTCTTTTCAATCTGTTTTATCATATAAGCTTCCTTGAGGCTTTAAAGAGCCTCTCTTGTAAATTCAGTAAAATAGGTAGTCCTCAACATATAAGTATACTCGAATCTGCCCATTACAGTTGTATGCCATAAGGGTCATAAAATGGAAGGTCACATGACCAGTCTGATTTTTGGCACTTTTGTAGCATTCATTAAGTGAATGTGGTGATTATAAAGTGGTTGCAGCAGTAAGCAAATGCCATGATCATTAAGCAAATCAATGATTTACTACAGACATAGTTTTGTTGAAAATCAGAGGCCAAAAGCCCTGGTTTTCAATGGTTTTACAAAGCCATTATAAAACATAGTCAAATGACTGTTGGATGCAGCAAACAGCCAATTGCTGCTTTGTCCAATAGCATCTAACCATCAGAATTTTGAATCTGGGTTGTAAATCCCCTTTTTCAGATCAGTCGTAACTTCAAACACTCGCTAAGTAATCAGTTGTAAATTGAGGATTACCTATGTCCAGGTCATTCTCTTGGTTTATTTTCCCTTTAGTTTTTAAAATTTCAGCCAGTTTATTTTGAAACATTCAGTAAAAAGTTCTTATCCATGTTATGCTCTTGGCCTGAAACTTGGATTTCTAATTTAAATGCCTTCTCTATCTTACAATTATTTTTTTTTTAAAAAAATCTAATATTTCTGATTCTACTATCTCTGTACCAAACAAGGTTTGCTTCACATATGACATTCTTTCAGGGATTAGGGGGTACATTGATTTGTCCGTTATACTCAGTCATGCTCTTTTTCAACATAATGTATTGTTTGCAAAGTGAGGACAATTTTTGAACATTATTTGGTGTGGGTTTTTTTTTTCAAAAATAAAGATTTGCAAGCTTTTATAAAGAATTTCCACAATTCCCAGATAATTTGGATTAAGATAGAAGAGGAGGGAAGAGGAAGAGGTCCTTGTACAAATATATGTATAAAATTTCAGAAGAAAATAGAAAGGCTGAGATAGATTAGGTGAAAAACTGACTCAAAAACTGTGAGAGGGACCTTGGAGTAGTAATTGACTATCACTTAAATAATGAGCCAGCAGTGTGTGGCAGCTGTCAAAAAAGCTAATACAATCCTTGGCTGTATAAACAAGAGGCATAGAATAAAAACCATGTCAAGTATTAGTGCTATTTTACAAAGCCTTAGTAAGGCTACAACTGGAATACTGCATCCAGTTTTGGTTACCACATTACAAAAAAAATATTGAGACTTTGGAAAAAGTGCAGAGAAGAGCAACTAAGATGATTAAAGGCCTGGAGACTAAAATATATGAAGAACGATTGCAGGATTTGGGTATGGCCAGTCTAGAGAATAGAAGGAGTAGGGCTGACATGATAACAGTTTCCAGTATTTGAGGGGCTGCAACAAAGGAGAGGGATGGCCAACTTATTTTCCAAAGCAGAAGCCAAGACAAGAAACTTTCTAACAGTGAGAACAATTAACCAGTGGAACAGCTTTCCTTCAGAAGTTGTGGGTGCTTTATCACTGGAGGTTTTTAAGACAAGAGTGGACAGCCACTTTTCTGAAATGATATAGGGTCTCCTGCTTGAGAAGGGGTTGGACTAGAAGACCTTTAAAGTCCCTTCCAACTCTGACACCTGGATTTGTACATTGAAATGTTGCAAAGGTAAACAACAGTACTTCTATATTTCACATGGTCATCCGAGGACACTGAGGGAAAGTTTATGAAGGCTACTCGCTAATTCTTAATTTATAATGTTTGCACTACATAGTCTCTAGATAAGCATTACATCCGATCTTCTACATTCTTCTGTATTCTTAGGAATTTTTCTAAATGTTGTATTATATGTAATATGTGCCTCTCAACACATACACTGAAGAACGACTGAGATATTTATCCTTTAACTTGAGGTTTTGAGTGGCCCAGTATAGAACGCAACATTATATTTCAGTTGATTTTATCAAAATGTATTATATGAAATATATCTAATATGTAGTCAGTCTAATTTATTCATGCATAGATGAGAAAAGGCAAGACAAAAATGATTAAGATCTCTGGTATTTAATGTATACAATATTGATACATTATAACTGTTTCAAAATTATTTAATGCTGTTTAATGTCATTTTAGCTTTAACTGGACAAAAGATGGGAAACCATTTAGTCTGTTGGGTGATTCACGGATAACTACATTTAATAATTCAGGAACATTTGTAGTTAAAAATCGTGGCAACATAGCCTTTTTCCAAGGAAAATATCGCTGCTATGCATCCAATGAGTTGGGAACTTCTATGTCAGAGGAAATTGAGCTAATAGTTCCAGGTGAGTATTTGTGATGATAATTATTGTTATTTCAATGTATTTTCTCTAAACAGCTAAATTGTAAGATGCTGAACATCTTGTTTATCACTATGGTAGTTCATTGCCTTAATTGTACCTGACTTAATGTGGGATTTATAAGAACCACCCAAGAGATAGACAGGCCTTGAACAATACAGATGTTTTGTTTTGGAGAATTGTGACAAGCATTCCCTGTGTTCTAGTTGAGTCTAAGTATTCCTTCTGGATTCTTCCTTTTCATCCACTTTCTCAATGATACATTTAGGAATACATCAAATGGCAATAAATGTAATGAGACTCCTTCGAAGAATAAAAATAAAGATTTGGGAACGTTAATTATGAATTATTTTTCTTTGAGCAAATCTATTCAGCATTTTTAATTGGAGACATTAGAATTTAATTTAAATGTAAACCTTAAATGTAAGAAGCCTATAATCCACATTAGTAAAATCTCCTTCAAACCCAGCTTTACTCCTGATGATTTTATGGACATACCAGCTGATGTCCCGGCGTTGTCCTGGTATTTATAGACGTTGAAGTGTTCGTCTGATAGGGACCCATTGAGAGGGGCCTTTCTTTCCCCTACTCCCATGCCCATCATCCTTCCCCCTCCCTTCCTCCTCCCATGTGCTCCTATTTCCCGCCCTGTCTATAGCTGTCACAGCTGGCTTTCTAGAGGAAGCTGCAAAGGAACTGACATCACAAACAATTGCCACTCTAGGACACCACATTCACTCTCCTGAACGGCCCAGGCATTCTAGAGTTATGCTGGAACACACACACACAGATACCTCCCTAGGGGTGACTTAGCCAGGGGTGAAATGCTCCCAGTTCGGATCAAATTGCCCGATCCGGTAGCGATGGAGGTGGGTGGTTTGGAGAACTGGTAGCAAAAATCCCTGCCCCCCCTCCCCCATACCCAGCTGAGCTGCACAATCATCAGAGGCTTTTTTTTTACTTTTAAAAGCATTTTTTCTACAACCTCTTTGGCCCGAAAAAATGCTTTTAAAAATAAAAAAAAAGCCTCTGATGATCGCCCGGCTCAGCTGAGATCCTCAAAGGCTTTTAAAAGCATTTTTTTACAACCTCTGAAGAGGTTGTAGAAAAAAATCGTCAGAGGCATTTAAAAGAAAAAAAGCCTCTGGCGATCAGGCAACTCAGCTGGGATCATCAGAGCCTTTTGAAAGCATGTTTTTACAACCTCTTCGCCGAAAAAATGGTTTTAAAAGTTTAATTTTTTTAAAAAAAAATTGGCCAGGCCCACCCAGTCACATTAGTTTAGTTTAATTTAGTTTTATTAAATTTGTATACTGCCCTACTCCCGAAGGACTCAGGGTGGTGAACAGGCACAAGATAAAATACAGAAATACAAAAGTTAAAACAATTTAAAACCAAATTAAATAATATTGGCCCATGACAATTAAAATTAAAATTACCCCACCACCACCACCAAGCCACCATTACCCCACCACCACCAAGCCACGCCCACAGAACTGGTAGTAACAAATTTTAGATTTCACCACTGGACTTAGCCCCCACAGTATTTGTTTCCAGGGGGGGGAGAGAGAGAGAGAGAGAGAGAGAGAGAGAGAGAGAGAGAGAGAGAGAGAGAGAGAGAGAGAGAGAGAGGGAGGGAGGGAGGGAGGGAGAGGGAGAGGGAGGATTCCCTTAACATTCATAGCAGCAATTGAGAAGCTTTTGCCATAGCCATTTTTCAGAATGTTTGTCAATTTCACAATCTAAAGTTCCAAGTATGTCTTGGGGGTTTCCCATCCAAACAGTAATCAGGATTGATTATGGTCAGTTTACAAGCTCAGGTGCTGCCACCAGCTAAAACTGGTGGTATACAGTAGCAGGCTTAATTCCCTGTGCTGCTGCATTATAGACCCGATGCAGCTTTCACCCAGTCCTTAAAGAGCTCATTGCAGTATTCTGTTTGAACCAAGGCATAAGTTATTATGAGTAATGCCTCCCATTCCAGAAAAAGGAGCAATTGGCACACAAGAAGAATATGTGTGAAAGCGGTCTTTGCCATGAACTGAATAATGAATTAAATGATTTGTAATTTAATGACTTTTTAAAAAATGACTTGTAATTAATCTAAGGCAAAAATAATAGATGCTTTTTTTTTTTTTTGGCTTGGGACCATGTTTTCAATGCTTTTATTTTATAGCAGCCTAGCAATAAGCCAGTAATGTCACTTGGAGGAGGCAAAATATTACAAACAATCAAGGCATGAATGGTGGTTATGTAAAAGAGTGTAAGCAACTGAGAATGTAGAAGAATGTAGGTAACTGAGGTATCCTGGATACCTGAAGGGATGGGCAGCAGGCCAAAGCGAATTGGAGGCAAGCTTAGCAAGACAACCTCATTCTGTGCTGATTAGGAGTTACAGAGATGGAACAAAATGTCTTTGCTGGAACTTAACAGCTGTCAAGGTTATTGCAGCCCAGATCTAGTAGACTCAATGCTGTGACAACCAGCTGTGCTGCTCCTCTATCCTGAAACCTCACCACTGCTGTTTTTTTCTCTAAAAGCAAGTACTGCATGCAAGCCCAGGACATCATAACAGGTCTTCTTCCTTGAACAAAGCCACTAGCTCATTAACTGAAAGATTTGCCCTGTGGCCAAAGAGTACTACTTATCTCCCCTGGGCAGAACGTTCAGCTCTTGAAGGATTTTTGTAGTGCTCTGTTGAATGTTAAAAGAAAATATTTATTTATTTATTTATTTTTATTTATTTTATTTTATTTTATTTCTATACTGCCCTTCTCCTGCGGGACTCAGGGCGGTGTACAGCCAAGATAAAACATTGCATATAAAATTTAAAAACAATTTAAAAAACAATTAAATAATTTCGGCCCAAGATTTAAAAACAACCCAATTAAAACCGAATTCAATTAAAACTGAGAGGATGGGATCAAGCCAGCCCGGCTAGATGGAATAGGTGTGTTTTCAGGGCCCGACGAAAAGTCTGGAGGTCTGATATCGTGTGTATCTCAGGGGGTAGGTCATTCCAGAGGGCAGGTGGTGCCATAGAGAAGGCTCTCCCCCTGGGGGTCGCCAGCCGGCACTGTCTGGCCGACGGCACCCTGAGGAGGCCCTCTCTGTGTGAGCGAACCGGTCAGTGGGAGGCTATTGGCAGCAGAAGGCGGTCTCGCAGATACCCCAGCCCTAAGCCATGGAGTGCTTTAAAGGTGATCACCAACACCTTGAAGCGCATCTGGAAGACCACAGGAAGCCAGTGCAGCTCGCGGAGGAGAGGTGTCATATGTGAGCGCCCCATCGCTCCCATAATCCCCCCCGTGGCTGCATTCTGGACTAACTGTAGCCTCCGGGTGCACCCCAAGGGGAGCCCCATGTAGAGAGCACAAATAAAAGTACTAGGCCCTGCTTTTTGTCACAAAGGTGCTTTTCCAGGAGGCAACTGGACTTCGTTGTTTTTTCTTTGAAGACGTTTTGCTTCTCATCCAAGAAGCTTCTTCACCTCTGACAGGATAGTAGAGAATGGAAGGATTTATATTTCTTGCAGACAGCTGGTCATTTGCGTCCTTTTAGAGGGTTGTTGAAGCACTTGGAGGTTTATCTGTATCCTTAGGGTCACCTGAGTAGTACTCCTGGTTCCTGCAGTTTGCAATTTTTCTCTGGGAATCTATTCCTACACCCACATCATTCAAAGGGTGTTCATCCCAAATTGTATAGCAAAAGTCTGTAGAGTTTCTCAGTCATCCAGGTCATGGTTGACGCCAAGATGCTTTTTCAGGAGGCAACTGGACTTTCTTGTTTTTTCTTCAAAGTCATTTCGCTTCTCATCCAAAAAGCTACTTCAGCTCTGACCGGAAAGAACCTCTAACTACAGGAATCAGGAGCACTACTCAGATGACCCTGAGGACACAGATAAACCTCCAAGTGCTTCAACAACCCTCTAAAAGCATGCAAATGACCAGCTGCCTGCAAGGAATATAAATCCTTCCATTCCCCACTATCCTGTCAGAGCTGAAGAAGCTTCTTGGATGAGAAACAAAACATCTTCAAAGAAAAAACAAGAAAGTCCAGTTGCCTCCTGAAAAAGCATCTTTGGGACAACCATGACCTGGATGACTGAGAATGTCTACAGGCCCTGCTTTTTGGTTTTACTTTCACAGAAGAATCCCAATTTGGGATTAGGATAAACTTCAATCTTAAACAAACCTTAAAATCTACTAGATCTCAATTTACGACCACAATTGAACCCAAAATTTCTATTGCTAAGTAAGACAGTTGTTAAGTGAGTTTTGCCCCATTTTGCAATCTTTCTTGCCACAGTTATTAAGTGAATCATCGCACTTGTGAAGCTAGAAACATGGTTGTTAAGTGGATCTGGCTTCCCCACCGCCCTGAGTCCACTAGGAGAAGGGCGGTATACAAATTTAAATAAATAAATAAATAAATAAATAAATAAATAAATAAATAAATAACTTTGCTTGGCAGAAGGTCACAAAAGGGGATCGCATGACCATCCCAAATATGAGCTAGTTGCCAAGAATCTGAATTTTGATCACCCGATTGACCATGGGGATGCTGCAATGGTCGTAAGTGTGAAAAACAGCACTTTTTTTCAGTGCTGTTGCAATTTTGAATGGCTGTCATTCAAAGACTATCTGTACTTCAAAAAATGAGGCTGAGAATTTTCTCACACTTGACCAAACAGAAGAAAAAGCTGTTGGAAGGCAGAAATGCTACCATGTGCTTTAGGCAGGATGGCAAGATAGCAATAGACTTAGGCTTATATACCACTTCATAGGGCTTTACAGCCCTCTCTAAGCTGTTTACAGAGTCAGCATATTGTGCCTAACAATCTAGGTCCTCATTTTACCCACCTCGGAAGGATGGAAGGCTGAGTCAATCTTGAGCCAGTGAGATTGGAACTGCTGAACTGCAGCTAGCAGTCAGCTGAAGTAGCCTGCAGTACTGCACTCTAACCACTGCGCCATCTCGGCTCT